GATATTCAGAATACCTTCGCATGACCCAAATAGAGAAATTATACCGCAGAAATCCCCTCCAATACCCTTACTCTTGGCCCGGTAGCAAGGGAGACTATGAATGCTATCAGGGAAATTGCGGGGTAAAATTTGGTAATGATACACAGAGAATTGGTCAATATCTGATAAAATGGGTAAATATTTAGTCCTAAAACCAAGGTATCATGTGAGCCCAAAAGTCCAAACCTAACCTTTCCTATATCACGGTGCGGATTGTCCTTGTTTCTATCTTATTTGTACCATGGTAATTGACCACTGGGAGAGCTTCACTCCTGTTGTGCACTGGGCCATTCGCACCATTTTGATTTGTCCATTCCGCTTGCCTTTTTCCCAGGTTAGTGTGTGATTAATTGCCTTATAATTGTCATATATTTTAACTATCAATTGATAAGGTGATGTTTAACATGTTTTATAATGATTATGCCAGTAGTAGATGTGTTTTTTATTCCTCTTTAGTGAGCTACACCCCACCGCTGTCTGCGACACGGTGGCCTCCTAGGTTGGGTCGGGTCACGTCAGGTCACGGTACCATGACGGTACAAATAGCTTCGGCCTTCCTATATTCTACTCATCCCCCCCTTTATTTGCCACAAGAATGTAGTTATAGAAAATATTTGTAACACACCTTGAGTGTGAAAGGTATGGAAGAACTGCAATGAGGAGGAATTATAGAAAAAACAACTTTAAGAACTGTGGAGTTGTGGACTTGGTCTCTGATATTTTTTGTCATTTTGGTTTAAATATGAGGCTGCTGTACCTGTGCTGTTTATAACTCTGTTTCTTATGCTCTATAAGATGTCAGTCCAGGCTGTAAATTGGCAGGGTCCGAGCCACAAGTATAGGTGGCTTTTGTAAAGATGTATCCATATAGAATAAATAATTTCTTTACTTTTTCTTTTAGTTATTAATTTTTTGTTTTTAACCCAATGGCGCCGGGTGTACAAAACAAAAAAAAAACTCTACGCTTAAGCAAACAAAGGTGGCGCGCCGACTTTGAGCACGTGCGTAGGGGACATCAGCCCAAATCACTGGCTCGCCGCGCTTTGGCGCGCCACCGGCTCGTTTGGCTGCACGCCAGCTTTCGAGCGCTTTGTTTACACGCCGATTGGCGTCACCCGGCACCAAGGGGTTAATTTGATTATACTGATTCAAAAATAAACCTCATTACCTTTGTTTTTGTTGTACAGTTACCACACTACCACAATTTTTACATTTTGTTGGAATGTAAATTAATGTTCTTTCAGCAACACAGTTTCAAGGGATTTGTGACAGAAAGAAACAATTAGTCCTTAGTTCAGTAGAAAAAGACATCTGTGATGATGCATTTTTCAGCTGAGAAAAAAATTATACCTATCTTATCTGTTTTGCACTTTTCCTAGCATTTTGGAAATATTCCCCTTTCTCTTATATTGCTTTTAGTAATGCTAATAACATTACTATAATTATAATGACTGTAATGATAATAACATAATCAATATTGATAACATTTGAGACATTTCACAAAACAAAACTACAGCAAATATTACATTTTTCCAGCTGCATTTGGTTAAACTCATGTAACATCTTTTTTACTTTTTCATGCAATCTATGCGATATAAAAAAACTTTCATTCATGGTAACAGGTATCCTTTTACCATACAGAGAAAGTGGATGAAAACATTCTGAAGATAGTTTGATGTGTTGAAAGCTTGGTACCTGTATTACAGATGTGATTCCTCTACATATTATGGAAGAGTTTCATTGCTCATTTCAGAAATATGTCCTGTCACTAGTACCGAGTCAGCGACAAGCACTAAATAGTGTGGCCAATATTATTTTCAACTGGCATCTATATTATAATTCTGCTTGTGTTTCATCCATTTGTTTGCATGATCATTTTCTCATTATAGCTGCACCTTATACCCAAAATCATATTCTGTGTGACTTCAGAGTTGAGGTCACTTCATTTTGGGGTGATAATTGTCAACAAATATTGAAAAGGACACGCACACATGTAAACACACACACACACACACACACATATATTTCTCTCTCTTTCTTTCTGAGTGGGGGCAATTTCTAACAGAGATATATGGGACTATATTTTCTTTTCAGATCAATCATGAGACTGTCGCCTATTTTACTGACATCACAGTACTATGTGAATAATGTGAGACCAAAGAATGGAAGAAAACCAACACGACAGCCATTTCCATTCCAGAATATTCTACCTATATCATTGAGAGACCATGTGTCTGGAAAGGGAAATAAACAACAAAGTGAGTTATTTTCCATTTCATGTATGTATATACATGCATATATATATGTGTGTGTGTGTGTGTGTGTGTGTGTGTGTGTGTGTGTGTGTGTGTGTGTGTGTGTGTGTGTGTGTGTGTGTGTGTGTGTGTGTGTGTGTGTGTGTCTATATATATATATATATATATATATATATATATATATATATATATATATATATATATAT